ATTACACGTGACACTGACAGAAAGCAGCTGCAGCGGCTCTTCCTGCACCCACACAGCTTCATCATTGCTGACAGCTACATGGTGTTTATTCTACAGCAGGGTTCTTAGAGGGGCCCCCCAAGCAGCACCCTAAAACCAAATCATTAACACAGCTGAAACACATTTTGAAATGATATTGCCTCATTGCTGGAGTTGAATGTGCATGGTCTCGTTGAGGAAAGCGAGGTACCAGCTCGTTGTTCCGTGGTACAAGGTTAGATGCTCAACATCTGAACTCTTCCCTCAGTGGCTCTCTTCCAGCTGCTGGGGTCGGCGGTTGCTTTGCTGCTCGAAACCCACAGACAGTCTCCTCCGCTGCCAGCGGAACACTGAATGCTTAGTATAGTAACCTCCACAGCCACAGCACATGAGCCTGTTTCTGGCTGCCTGTGTGTAAAATGGCAATCTTAATGTCAAACTCTGTTAAATTCTGCTGACTGCCCTGAAAGGAGCTCAGGCATGCGCCACACAGCTCTCACCCAGTGAGTGCAGGTTCGATTACAGAGGCTGTTAATTAATGTCGTGAACAGGTCAAAGTGGAGAAGATCATAACAACCTCCTCCGTCTTCAATCTGGAAGGCGGCCTCTCTGTCTCTCTCTCTCTACTCTACCTCCCCCGTATCCCCCCCCCCCGGGCCCCGCCCCCGCCCCTCGATCGATACGCTTCCGTCGTCGTCGTGTCTGCAGTGGACACGTCGGTTCAGAGAGGCGAGTGTGTAAGGAGCAGCCACCGTCCGCGCGGTTTCCGTCCGTCCAGGTCTGTCGTTTACGCGCAGGACGGCAACCTTGTGAAGGTGAGGCAGCGCTGCTGCCCGGAGAGGAGGCCGTTCGCTCGCGTCCTGCTTGTTGGCGTTGCTGGCGCCACCTCGGCGGGCCGTGGCCTGGTGTATCGTCCACAGCCAACGACGGTACACGCCCGGGTGCGAGAGAGCCAGCAAGCACTCCGGGAAGGCTGCCAGCAAGGCAGCAGCGGCGGCGCGGCGGCGGCTTTTCGGTTTTCGCGCGGGTGGCCCGGAGAGCCACGGTGATCAACAGGATCCGCTCCTCGCAGAGCAACGTGCTGCTGCTGGACGCCGGAGACCAGTTCCAGGGGACAGTCTGGTTCAATTACTACAAAGGAGCCGAGGCTGCACACTTCATGAACAAACTGCGTTATGATGCCATGGTAGGAACTATTACTGCGCTGCGCTCCTGGGGGGAAGGTAGCTGGGACATTTCTGTAGACAGACAGGCAGACAGGCAGACAGACAGTTCTTCTACTCCCAATATAACATCTAAATGCTATGGTGAGTTTACTTTATTGCATGATGTGTTTAGATTTTTTTCTTCAGTAAAAGTAGAAACACCACAGTGTGAGACTAATAAAGAAGTCCAGTACAGTCCAGTACAGTACAGTACAGTACAGTCCAGTACAGTACAGTACAGTCCACTACAGTACAGTCCAGTACAGTACAGTCCAGTACAGTACAGTCCAGTACAGTCCACTGCAGTACAGTCCACTACAGTACAGTCCAGTACAGTCCAGTTCAGTACAGACCACTACAGTCCAGTCCACTACAGTCCAGTACAGTCCAGTACAGTCCAGTACAGTCCACTACAGTCCAGTCCACTACAGTACAGTACAGTACAGTCCAGTACAGTACAGTCCTCATGCAGTCAGTGTTGTATTAGATTGTTGATCCATGAAGGTACCAGAAGTTGATTTACAACTACAGCAACTTTATAATCTCTGTTTGATTACTTATTGTAGCCCAAATCACAGTAGATGTAAAATCTTAATTTTAGAATCGCCCAAATAATTGAAATATTATGGAAATCACACTCTGTCCGAGGGCAATAAACAGCATTATAATGGGCTAGAGCCGGCCCTGGTCATACCTCTATGATTGCTATTATATTTGTATGTCCTGGGTTTGGCTTCACTTTTGGAGAGCTGTCATGTCGTCCATCTTTATATATTGTGACTATAGCCTATCTATAGCCAGTACCACATTTTAGGCAGTATTGGAGGGATTTACGATTAGCAAGCATTACAGTAGTTTTCTGCCATTAAGGTTCACAGATAGAGAGAATAATGTATTTGTCATTTGGTACCCACTGTCTTGGTATAACTCTTATAAAAAAGAAGAAATAACTTGACAAACCACAGTCCTACAGTGTTGTAATCACATCATAAAGTACAATAACACACACAGCGTGCAGGAGTCCGATCTACAGTTTACTGTTACTAAAATGATTTTTAAAAAAAGATAGAAAGGTTTCAGGTCAAAGCAGGTTAATCAGACTCCACTCAGTGAATGTATTGATCCAGGTCAGAAAGCCTCAGTTGCTTTTAATTAGCTTAATAGCAGCAACTCGGAGAGAGACCTTTTAATGGATGAGCTGTCCACTCTCTCTTTAATCTTATTAATTATTATATAACTCTTATATAATAAATTATAAAATGTATAAATCTTTATGGAGAGTTAATCCTCAAAAATTAGATGTTTGAAATTCTGTAAAAGTGACTCTAGTACGGTGGCCAAGAGAGGTCAACACAGTGCAAATGAGGAAAACATCTTCACTACTTTGACAACATCTGGGTACACGAGCAAATTAAGAAACAAAGAAATGCACCGCAAATACACTGCATGTTATACACAACAAAAAGTTTCAGCAAGACAATTTAAGCTTTATTTACAGAGAGCAAAGAGAGTAAACAATACAACAAAATAATGAGGCCACCAGAAAACACAAAATGTTTTCCAATAAACTCTTGTAAGGCCCTTTTCCACCAAAGTAGTTCTGGTTCTTGAACGTGTTCCGTTCAAGAATCTTATAACTTTGGTGCTATCTATCGAACCAACCTACAGTTCCACCAGTGGAACCATTGTAATAAGGTAAGAACCAAATTGCAAGAATGTGATTGAATGGGAAGTGTAGTGGCAGGAAGTCAGACACAGAAACAGCATAGAGAGTCCGGGCAGTATATGAAATAAAATCCTGTGTGCAGACTCTAGATCGAATTTCACACTACATCAACATTGTGGCACCAGATAGGAAGTTATTCAGTGGACAGAAGTTTCTGGGTTTGGACGCAGTAAAGAGGATTATAGTTGTCCAGTCTGCAGCTGTTAAAAATGGTTTTATTTTAGCTTTCGACCTGGGTTTTACTACCCTGGATACAAACAATAGGTTGTAGGTAAATATCAGCTCCAGATTTCAATAAAACTTCTTTATGCTGGATTATAGGCAACCAAGTTTGGATTGCAGAGGAACTGTTGAGGAAGGGGGTCAAATGTGGGAACTTTGAGCTGTCCAGTTCTTGCCAAGATGTCTCAGGAATCAGGCTTTCACCAGGTTTAAGGGCAATATAAAGTTGTGTATCATCAGCATAGATGTGAACATATCCCGCCAATATCAGACTTACACAATCACAATGTTGTTACTTCATATACCAACATCATTGACGAGTGGTTGACGACAAATCACCTGGGCATGTTCATCAGGCTTTAGCGCCCCCTAGAAACATTACAACAACTTCATCTGCTTGTGTTTTGTCCTTTGACAGCTGTTTTCTTTAGTTCTCTCTGCTATGGGAGAGGATTGTCGATGCTCAACAGGCATCCATTTGATGCTTTGTAGGTCATAAGACGTCAAGGTTAAAACTGGACAAAACTTGATTGAAAACTGAATGTTTAACCCTTTTTCACACACATTTTAATGAGTTTTTATCAATGTATTGAGAAGCCTTTTTTATTAAAACCCTTGACTGTATATAATTAGTGGACTGAGCTTTTGGGTCTGTGAAGTGAAGCCAATGCAGAAGTGTCTGCATTCATTCTAATGGCCACCAGGGAGCAGCTCTATGGGTTGCAAAAAAGAAGTCTGATAGAACTGAGCCTGGGAAGAAATGAGCCGAATCTCAGTTGATTGATGAGCTTAGTAAACAGTTTCCTCATGAGTTTCTGGTCTCAGTCTCTGTTTCAGGTCTTCTTCCATATCAGCATGATGTTCCATTTAGTAACTGATGGTCAACCATTTAGAGTAAAAACAGACATAAAGGGGTATGCTTTAGGGTGTCTGCATATAGAAGCATAGATGTCTTCTGTGAGCATCAACCAAATGCTTACTGGGTAACAAACTACCTGTTAGTTACTAGATGTTTTCTTCTAAAGCAGAAAACTGTCACTGTGTATGTGACACATCAGAGCATCTGTTTCTGACAAATAAAGTCAAAGAATCAGATTTACTGACTGAAGAGCTCTTCCACCCACTGCCTGTGGACAGAGAGAGATACATGATAAGCAGACTTGTTTTAATTCAGTTCTGCTTCACTTTCTGTGCCTTAAGAGCTGCTGGCTGTCGGCTGTCAACATCCATCTTCTTCTGTCCGGAAACAGCTTCCTGCAGCTGGAGCTCATTAACAATCTTACTCCTTAGTGGAAGATGCAATTAGTGTGTGTACTCACTAACTAAGTAAACTATGACAAACATACTCAGCCGTACCCAGTTCACATGAAGTACATCCTGGACAGGTCCCCAGTCAGTCACAGGGCTGCCACACTTCTCCATTAAGGCAGTTTGACGTCAACTTGCCAGCAACATGAACCCGGAAGTGTTAAGTACCCCAAAGTTTTCTGTTAGAAATGTACAGTGTGGGTCGATTGGACGGCATTGTGCATCACTACCAGTGCCTAATCTTGAACCAGTTCTTTTCGTCTTGGCTCTTGGTCAGGAAAACTGGTTCCAGCACACTAGAACCAAGAACCACTTACAACTGTTTAGCCCATAGATGTTGTGAACATAACATTGAGCTCGCTGGCTAGCTTAACATAGCTAATTATTAGCACATCAGTGTTTTGTTTGTAACATAATGATGTGGAGCAACCAGCACTAGCACCAGGACCAGAACTTGAGACTATAAGGCCACACAGTGGTTAGAAACATTTCTTCTTCAATTGTAAAATAGTAGTTAGAGTTTTACGACAACGTTTTATATATTCATATAAAGTTAGGATTTTTGGCACAACTTTACCTACAAGGTGCGTGAAGAAGGGAAAAGGTCTGAAGAGGTCAAACTCATTTGTAGTAAAACTTTATAGTCAGTTCAACATGTTTCTGCTTGAGTTCTGACAGTGCTTTATTAAACCTGCCATGAAGGGTTCCCTGTGGGGACCTGTAAGGGTTTTAAACATTACTTAAGTCTTACACGTGTTTTCTCTCTTTCCAAGTAAATAATTCATCATCTGCTGAAACTAGAGGAAGTAGTCTGAGTGTGTGTGTTATTTTAGTGAACATGTCTGAATTTGTGTGTCATCTGACATTTGGCCAGAGCAGCTGTCTGGATGTTATTCTACAGTTCTTTATTTGACTCTCCTTTGTTTTTTCAGGCTTTTGGAAATCATGAGTTTGATAATGGAGTGGAGGGGCTCATGAAACCGTTCATGGAGAAGATCAAGTGTCCTGTTCTCAGCGCCAACATCAAACCCGATGAAACTCTGGCCGCCACGTTTGGCAGCTCTTTCTTACCTTATAAGATACTGACAGTAGGCAGCGAGAGGGTGGGCGTGGTGGGATACACATCACAGGAAACTCCTGCTCTGTCCAAACCTGGTAAGTGGACCGTTTCTGACTCACACTATTTACATGCTCATCTCAAGGCCTCCACACTGTAAACATGCTGATATAGTCTATCTCTCTGTTTCCTGGTGTAGTATATACTGTATACACTGTTTCCTGTCCAGCTGTCATGAAGAGTTAGAGGGACTTTTTGAGTTAAGGTTATGGTCTTTAAATGAAAATGGAGAACTGAAATTCATCTGATTGTATGCAAGCAGTGTTAGAACTGAGATTCACACAGTTAACTTAAAGTAGTGAGTTACTAGTACTGTTGAAGTGAATTAAGGATTTAAGGTATTCAACGCAGCGTTACGTGAATAAAATTACAGATTTCTCTGAGTTTGAACATTGTTGGAAACATTTGGGATAATGTAAGAACTCAACTACATATAGAACATAGAGCCAGAGTTTATACACTGTTTAATGGTAACAGTTACAGATTATAGGATTAAAATGATTCATGTAAAATGATTTATGCCAATTTAATAGATGATTCCACCAACTACATGCAAAGCAGATAGACCACAAACAACAAACAAACAATGTCACCGACAGAGATTTGAGTTAATCATGGAGGAGATGAAGGCTGATAAAGTCGCTGCTGGAGTGTGAAACTAGGAGAAATGTTCCGAATATAAAGTAGGCAGAGTGAGAGAGGAGATCAACCAGAGACAGAGGACAATTGTTTCTGTGTTTAAATATCAGTAACATTCACTACAGTCAGGGATTTATCTTCCTGTATCAGCCAACAGAAACAGGATGATATGAAAACAACTTCTGTGTTGTGTCGGAACTAAGAAAGTTTGAGCGTGTCGAGTCAAAGGTGAAATGATGATGATGATCATGAGGAAGTTTCTTATTCCTTCGGTTTGTTTCATTTCTTCTTACAGAAGAAAGTTTAGATAAATCCTTTAAAAAATCATTTTGTTACCGTTTTTTTATCCTCATTGTTTATAAGAAAAGATGCACTTTGTTCTCCTTCTGGGAGATATAATAATAATTATTAATATTATCTACCGATACCGTACTTATATTTGCCAAATCGAGTTCCACTGCAGTTCCACAGGGAATCACCACAATAAGAGCTTCTAAAACAAAATGAGAAGCTGCTTCCTGAATATGTTAAACACTGCGCTTTGCTAATCAGAGAGACAGTGGTAAGTGTTCAGTGAGTCCGCGTAATTTATCAAATCAGATGTCAGAAGAGTCTGTCAGCAACATCTGCGGCTAAAAGAAATGTAAATGGGATGTTTTTGCAGGTTTAACAGGTATTTTTTTACAGTGTTGCTCTCTAACCTGTACAGGACCACACTTGCGATTTGAGGACGAGGTGACCGCCCTGCAGCTGCAGGTGGACAAGCTGCAGACGCTGGGCGTGAACAAGATCATCGCTCTGGGTCACTCCGGGTTCACCGTGGACCAGGAGATCGCCAGGAAGGTCCGCGGGGTCGACATCGTCATCGGCGGACACACAAACACCTTCCTCTTCACAGGTGAGGTAACGTCATACCTGTAATATGGGCTACATGATTTCAGAGAAGCTTTTCTATAAATTGTGATCTGTGTCTGATGTTTTTATGGGGGAAAAAAAATTATTTTTTGTTATACAATTAAAAATCAAAGGCAGCTTGTCCCAGTGAGAATAAAATTGCTCGTACTTTGGTGACGTCTGATTTATTTGTGCACTCTGAAGGCTAACCGTTTGACATTTGCTGAGTTCATTTTCTTCATTAAAGCTGTTACAGCTTGTTGCACGTTGTGAACTCTCCGTTCCGTGATTAGGGGTTAGGGTTAGGGTCGGGCATCTGGCGCAGCACATGCACGAATATATCAGCAACCACTGACTGCTGGTCTGAAGGAGGCCAGTTGGAAAATTTGAACATATCACTACACTCTAATAAACATGCGACGACTAGTTGACGAGGAAGATCTTTTTAATTACTGGATGATGAAAATAAACATGAGTTGCAGCCACAGTGACACAAAAGAACATCCAAACGTCTTTTATCCAAAACTCAAAACCTCTTTATGGAATGTAGGAACAATGGTATTGTATGTATGTAGTATGCTGAAGAGAGACACTAACAGTGAACGTGCTTTCATAGCCCCCCTAAAGCAAACAATAACTTCATTAATGACTTTGCTGCTCTACTTACCCACCTAGCCACACTTTCCCCAAATGT